TTCTACGCAACAAAACGTCAGCACAATACAAAGGAGACAACGTCTACATCCAACACGACCTCACCCGACAAGAACAACGACGACGAAAGGACTTAGTCCCGAAGTTTCGAGCTCTTCGCGACAAAGGTGTACGATGCCACCTCCCCCGTGACAAGATTATCAATAATGGTGCACCGCTGTCATCAGACGACATCACCCGTCTCCTCAACACAGTCACCCAATAGGATACTGCCAGGGCATCCCCTCAAACGTCAGCACGAAAGCTAAGTATCGCTCACCTTAATGTATGTAGCCTGTATAATAAATTACATGAAATTGAAGCACTCATGCATGCTCACGATTTAGACATATTAACGTTAACGGAAACGTGGCTATCCGACAGTGTACCTGACATATGTATTACAGTACCTGGATACACCATGCATAGACTTGATCGGAACTCAAAGAGAGGAGGTGGTGTCAGTATATACGTAAGAGAATGCTTCGGTAATCGAGCACTACATCACTCCTCTCCCATTGAAGCCCTTGCAGTACACGTGAACATTCACCCCCAGCCTCTCACTATCCTCTGTGCATATCGAGCTCCAACAGTACCTGTAGCATTTTGGCAAACCTTATCTAGCCTAACTGATGACATACTGGATTGTACACCGGCCTCCTCTGCGTGCATAATTCTAGGCGATTTCAATGTCAATGTCCAAGACCCTAGTCACGCACATTACCCTCACCTACGAACATTCTGCCATGATTTTGATCTCCGAAACGTTGTCACGTCACCAACTAGATTCCCTAGTGCAACAACCATAGACCTAGCACTGATCTCAAGCTCTTCCTCCACCACGTCTACTTCAAGACCAGGCAGGGATGAACTGATTTACAAAGACTGCAATGTTATTCCATGTGATATTTCCGATCACCAACTTGTTTGTGTGAACTACAATATCCATGCCACCACCAGCACGCTCAAGACAAACAGACAGGTACAAGTACGAAAGCCACCGCTGCGTACGTTGAAGATTAAGCAATTCCAAGAGACAGCTGCTAAACATATGTCTACTCTCCACCAGCAGATCACATGCAGTTCATCACAGATGTCTCTAGATAGTTATACTGAACACTGGCAGGATGCAGTCAGTGATGCATTGAATGAGTACTGCCCACTAAAGACTGTTAACGCCAAGAAGAGCTATACTCCATCGCCTTGGGTAGACGATGAGCTCCGGCAGACTTTATTCAAGCGTAAACGAGCACACCGTGCAATGATAAAACGTCCTGATCGCTCAGACCTGCTGCAACAATTCCGAACTCTACGAAGACAATGTAAACTTTTAACTAGGAAGAAACGGTCTACATACTTCCAGCAACAACTAATCAATCATCGAAACCACCCAAGAGAGCAATGGAGTGTCATGAACAATCTACTGGGTAGAATTAAAATCAACCAGGAACCTGCTGCCGAAGTAGCCGACATCACAAAGACATTTACAGACGTTGTCAACGATACATCACTTTCTGGCAGTACACTACGCACTCCTAATGGCCCTGTATCGGAATACTCCCTGACACAGTTCACACCAGTCACTGTTCCACAAGTCCAACTCCATATCCAGAGAATGAACAGTCGTAAAGCCACGGGACCTGATAACATCCCCGCCCAGGCCTACAAGCTCATCAAAGATGAGATCGCCCCATCTTTAGCCAAACTATTTACCAAGTCTCTTACGTCTGGCGATTTTCCATCGACATACAAACTAGCAAACGTGCGGCCTATCTACAAGCGTGGAGATAAGTCAGTCCCATCCAACTATAGACCAATATCACTCCTGTCCCACATGTCTAAGCTACTGGAACATATTGTACACGACCAACTAATGTACTATATCTATAATGCACCACCACCACTGTTACCCCTACCTGCTGAGCAATTTGCCTACCGCAGAGGCCACTCCTGCGAGGACTTGCTCACTCCCGTGATCAACGACTGGATGCTCTCCTTGGACAATGGTGATTATGTCGTAGCTGCCTTTCTAGACATGTCTAAGGCATTCGACACAGTTAGTCATGAAGTTCTACTGAGTGAACTTCTGGAGATCGGTGTCGGTGGTACTGCCTTGCAGTGGTTCTGTAGCTACCTTACCCACAGGAAGCAACGTGTGGTCACCAAGACACAGCAAGGCCTTACATATAGCAGCAACAGGGGGGTTCCGCAAGGCTCCGTCTTGGGGCCCTCTCTCTTCAATCTGTCAGTCAGAAAGCTCCCATCTGTACCCCAGCACTGCAAGGCTCGACAGTACGCGGACGACGTCTCCCTGTACAAAGCTGGCAAGAACGTCAAACAATTGTGCAAGGAGTTGACAGAAGACATTGTGAAAGTGAAAGAGTTCTTGGCGGCCAGAGGCTTACTGCTGAATCCTTCCAAGACGCAGTTTGTCGTGTTCAGGTCAAAGTGCAAGCCCCTTGACCCTAGCGTGGCTCTACAGCTGGGTGAGGTCACAATCAACCCTAGTGCACACATTCGATACCTTGGCATTATACTCGACGAACATCTCTCCTTTGGAGAGCACGTTAGGCAACTAGAGCGGAAAGTTGGAAGTAAGTTAGCCATGTTCAGAAAGGTCCGAGATCACATGACGGTAACTGCAAAGCGTGCATTTTACATTTGTTCCATTCAGACAGTACTCGAGTATGGGAGCAACTCATTTGCTCACTGCTTGTCAGTAACTCTGCATGACCGTCTAGTCCGTCTTAGTAATAGAGCTCTACGCATTGTGTTCAGTATGCCTCGTTTTTCTGACGTATCCCTTATTAATGCACGCCATCACATTCTCCCTTTGTCTGTGCGCTATCAGTTCAAACTCTATATCTTAGTGTTTCGTGTCCTGAATCAGGTAACTACTACTCTCCTTACTGATTGCTTTTGCCTTCGTTCTACTTCTACTCGTACCAATTCCTGCACTCGCTCCCAGGTATCTTCGTCTGTGACTCTACCCAAGGCTAAAACTCGTTTCGGTCTCTTTTCAGTTTCTTTCATCGGTTCCGACCGTTGGAATGCCCTCCCTGCTGCAGTCCGCTTATGCTCTTCCCTGCATCTATTCCGTAATTCAGTACTTTCATTTCTAGGGTACCCTGTAAGAAGGCCTTAGGCCTGTGGGGATTGCCCTATCAAAAATTTGATAATAATAATAATAATAATAATAATAATAATAATAATAATAAGATAGGTATTCGCATGTATCGGTACTTCAGTACATGTAACCAAGAGTGTAATGTTAAAGGGGAAGTTAAGGCAAAAATTTAATTTTCACCAGTTGTAGTCTTCGGGGTGCTGAGTCGAATGGTCTTGGTCCGAGAAAGCTGAGACGCTCCCTTCCTACTTGAATCCCAATCGAACTCGCGCACTTCCACCGAAACTGGGTGACTGCGCCCTACTAGATGGGGATTTGTATGCAAAATGTCACTAAAAGCACCATTTCGTTCTTATAAAAGCACGGATGACCGCGATTGGCCCATATGTTGTAGTCTTTTGGACGCTGAGTCGACTGGTTTTGGTCCGAAAAGGCTGCGATGCAGCGTTCCTCCTTTATTCCCAATCGAACGTGGTTGAAGAAGCGGTCACGTGCTCATGGGTGCCCAAATCACCTGGTCACCACGCCAGCTAGCAGGTGACAACTTTCACACCAAGGTTCAATTCGAGTGACAGGACTGCACCCAAAAAAGGTCAAACAGGCTAGTAAGTTGTACCCTGCAGTAGGCCTAGCCCAAATTTGCCGGCAATGCTTCCAGCAAAATATCGAAATTTCCCACGAAAAGAAATTGCTGGCAAATTCCGAGCAAAATATCGAATCTTCAGAGGATCCGGGTGTGTTTTGGCAATTTTATTCAAATTTCTATGGTTTCATTGGGCCAACGCCGTGCTGAAGTAGCTCATGCAGGTTGTCAGCGGTACATAAATTTGAAATCATGCTACAAAATCCGTAATACTGACACCATTATAGGTTTTGCTTTCCTCATTAGAGTCACCATCCACTTTTACCAAAGTAGATGGTTCATTCGAAGCCATTTTTGCCACAAAGCAGGAGCAAAATGGAGCAAAATATCGGAAACGAAAGGCAATGCCAAGCAAAATATGGAAAGTACTCGGGCAAAATTTGCCGGCAAAATATCGAAGCGCCCCGAGCAAATTTGGGCTAGGCCTACCCTGCAGGCACGGTGACCAGGTGACTGGCGTACGCAGCAGCACGTGACCGCTTGTTCAACCATGTTCGATTGGGAATAAAGGAGGAACGCTGCATCGCAGCCTTTTCGGACCAAAACCAGTCGACTCAGCGTCCAAAAGACTACAACATATGGGCCAATCGCGGTCATCCGTGCTTTTATAAGAACGAAATGGCGCTTTTAGTGACATTTTACATACAAATCCCCATCTCGTAGGGCGCAGTCACCCAGTTTCGGTGGAAGTGCGCGAGTTCGATTGGGATTCAAGTAGGAAGGGAGCGTCTCAGCTTCCTCGGACCAAGACCATTCGACTCAGCACCCCGAAGACTACAACTGGTGAAATTTTAATTTTTGCCTTAACTTCCCCTTTAATAACCAGTCTAGTACTAGTAGTAGTATGTATGAGCAAGAGCAATAAAAGAGTACATAACCCCCCAGAGTGTGCAACACCTGATCCAGCTCTGCATAGGGCATTGGTCGAGCGTAATCGGATCTTTGCGTCATAATTAGTACCGCACACATCAGAGGGGAACCCGGGAAGTTTCGGGTACTCTCGGATCAAACAACGGTGCCCTGCCTCGAGACAGGCCTTGCGGTGGTGTGAAGTGTACGCATGACATCAGGAGATCCAAGTACGCTCGATCAAGACCCTGTGCAGAGCTGGATCAGGCGTTACACACTCTGGGGGGGGGGGGGGGGGGTATGTACTCTTGGCAAGAGTAAACATACTTATATACTCTTGGCATGAGTATAATACACACAGTCATGATACAGGCAACCTCTCATACAGTCGTCTGTTGTTTGAAATTGGAGCCGCTGCAAATGAAACCTGACACAAGTCAGGAGAAACGCAGATGCTAGTAGCTCTCTAGAGTAGACAAAAAAGCCGATACATGTCTGATAAGAAACACAATTGTGAAGAGGCGGGAGGGGGGGGGGGGAGGGGGAGAGAGAGAGAGAGAGAGAGTCTAGAGAGGGGGGGGGGAGGGTAAAATATAGTTGAGCAAAGTAGAGTGGTTGGACATCAGAGCTGGGGCATTCACATGCCTTTACAAGGAACAAAATCCAACCGAGCAGAGCAAAGAATGCTACACAATGCGACTGTAAGTAAAGGTTGGGCACCGGTGGCAAACACCAATGCATGATGCGAACGAACTAAATGATATTTAGCTTACTGTATATTCTACAAATAAATACGTCTGAAGAGGTGATAGTTATCGGTAATTCAAATAGAAACAGTCATACCACTTTGATAGCTACAGGTATACTCCTGGGTTCTGCTCATGAAATCCAGAATCTGTAAGGCCACACACACACACTAGCACTCGCGCACACACACACGCACGCACGCACACACACACGGAAAAATAGTAATATACACCAAGATGCTAGGGCACGTACAAAAAAACGTGTGCCCCGGATGGGCATGATCCGATCGTCGTCATCGTCTGTATGCGTATACCAGCGCGCAACTGTCAAGTGCAGGTGCTAATATTCACCAGGATTTCTCAATACAATGTCAAGGTCCACAATGGGTGTGATCTGAGACAACCATAGCCATAGGTCACAATCGCAACGACTGACAATACCGGTTTTGCCATCATGCACCATTCGGGCCAAGGTAGAAGAAACAAATACACGCACGCGATCAGACCACCGTCTATAAGGATGCCTTCACGCCCGAGATGACGGCACTTCGCACGCCTTCGTTCTGCGCCAGCGCTGAGCCGGCCTCGCTCTGCACTCGCTGCATGGAGTGGCCCGACGTGCGGTAGTAGCGGTGGATCTGTGATGCCACGCGGCACAAAACACACAACAACCATATCCACCAGATTTAAATGTATAAGGGGCCGTCCGTAAATATCGATGTTTTTTTAGAGACGATATTGGTGCGTCTGGGGGGGGGGGGGGGGGAGGGGGTTTGAGCCATGTGCGTCTTTTCGAGCATCAGAAAAATATCGATGTAAATATCTGAAGTTTCGCCGATCCCTGCACGCGGACGTCTAAATGGCTATACAAGAAATGTGAAACCAGCTTCCGTTCGTGGAGCTAAAACTCGCGACACAAGAACAAAATCAAAAATTGGAAGCTGTACGCCCATGGCGAATTTCAAGAGCAAAAGAATGAGTTATTGATTGTGGAAATCGGCCGAACGGTGCCTGCAGGAGACCTTTTTCAAGACGTAGAGGCAGTGCGAACAAACACGGACGAACTCCACAAGAGTTTCCAGTCTTCACTGTCTGAACAAGGATTTGAAAAAAAAATCCCTGCAGATGGTCTTGGATGGCACTTTGCGCTTGGCAAAGGCTGCACCGGCAGACCAGTTTATCCATCGCCAAGCTGGCACAGACGCTGAGAATGGTACAACGGAGCGATGCGAGCACTGCAAGTATGTCTTCTTGTCAGCGGCTGATAAGCTTCGCCACAACCGCCTGAGTCATAGCAGTGAAGGCACTACATCCAGGCAGCAGAAGGAGCATGTGTGCTCGTATTTGGATGGTGCTTCTACTTGTGGCTTAGCCTTCACCACCTACTATGGGCTAATGCAGCACAAGAAGGCTGCTGGCCACAAGTGTTCTCGACGGCGACCAAAAAAGTCATAATGCTCTCCTTCTCAATTAGACCATATAAATACTGCAAACTTGCCATCTTGGGTTCATATTATTGACAAAAAAAGGAAAAAAAATGAGCATCCAAAAATATTGATTCCATGATCTAGATGTACATGTGCGTTTTCTGGGGGGAGGGGGGGGGGTCAAGGGAGAGAAGCACCAATATCGTCTCTAAAAAAACATCGATATTTACGGACGGCCCCTATTAAGATCAAACACGACAAATACACCACCAAGATATACCAAACAAACATTATCCACCCAACATAGAGCAAAACAGGGCCACACACGGCCACACACTTGACCAGCAACAGAGCTATTAGACAGGGGCAAGATTGCCTGGTAACGCTATAGTAGGTCAACTGAGTAGACTCTACTGTATTTCCGACGGGACGCGCAATTTGACATCAAATTTGGCGTAAAACTCCAAATTTCGACGTGAGCTGCAGGTCACTCGACGTTGCTTTTGGACGCGCGAGCCAAATAGCGCGAGCTGAACTTTGGCGTCACGTGAGAAATACCGTGCATCTTAACCTCTCTATTGTCTATACGTTTACAGCACCACAACACAGTGTGTTATTCACGATTTAAGGACCAACTGTACTGTGTAGTAAACGGTGCAAAAACAATATCCACTACAACTTACCATTCACGCACACACACACACACACACACACATACCATGTACCACACACACACACACACACACACACACACACACCATGTACCACACACACACACACACCTCAGACCTCAGACCTGCCCATCGCGGAAGCGATGATAGCGAACAGCTATGTTAGACATAGCAACTTGTGCTGGGATTACACCATTCAACAGCTTGCAAGGCTGATGAATTGACCGCCACTATTTTTAGCCTGGTATCCACCACACAGCTGATTGAAGTGACTTTTTCTGGCCAGTGAATCCCTATTTTCCATTTTTCCATTTTTTTTCTTTCACACACACACACACACACGCACGCACACACACACACACACACCCAGACTTTATTCCACTGAATGTGCACCGGGTGCACATTCAGTGCATGCCGCCCGCCATAGCAAACCCAACGTGTTATAAACATACCCGGATTAGCATGTAGGAGCCAATAGCGGACATCAGCACCCACAGGATAAAGGCTGCAATTGCCATGAAGAAGACGACGGCGTGGGCGTCCTTCTTGCCCTTCAGTGCAACAATCAGACCACTGCATACACGTGTGCACCAAACACACACACACACACACACACACACACACACACACACACACACACACACACGCACGCACGCACGCATACACACGCACGCACACACAGCAAACACGACAAAACGCACAGCGTTGCAATGTATGCACAGAAAGTGGTCTTACGTACTGGTTTCCATTGCTTTCCAACTTTCCATACATTTCCAGAAAAAAGGAAGTTTTCCCATATGTACTCACTCACTCGATTGGAAGCCGGGGGGGGGGGGGGGGGGAGGTACCACTGCAGCTATACTGATGGATGATTAGTATGGTGGTAAAGACACACCTGGCAATATGGCGGTAAATACACGCCTGCCCTTCATCATCTTCATTCTCCCGAGCCAAGCTCCGTATGAACACATCCAAGAAGAAGATTGCCTGATGAGTCCACCGGGGACGAAACGTACGTCGCAATCGAGCTACACGTATGTCGTTGCTGTGTTATCTTCTATGTGCCATGCGCTACCTGATGTACCAGCCTGCTAAGTCGAATACCGCCAACCCTGCATCGACTAGGCGCCAGGCGCGAATTGATGGTGGCGGTGGTGAGAAGGAGAGCTCTGTGCCAGAACTTTGCAGCCTAGAAAGCGTGTGTGGGCAGGCGTGTATTTACCGTCATATTGCCAGGTGCGTCTTTACCACCACATTAACCAGGCATTCCAAGTGTCTGAACATTGATCGTGATTTCTGGTTGTGTGCAAACATTCCATATCGGCACAACCACTTGAGCGGAGCATGCCACTATTGGCAAAATTAATATTACACGCTCTCTAAGGTCGTTGATTGGCTGTCGGCATGGTTGCAGTAACGTGACATGCAACAAACAGTTTACTAGTACTGTATAGTGAGCTGGGAGCCATTCTCGTATTGACGAATACAATAAGCCCGTGCACGCATGGAGTGCACGCATGCCACACAATGATTAACGGACAATGGACATTAGTGGATTGCTCGTCTAACATAACCAGCATATGCAGCTCACGTGCCACCCTGCAGTGTTCACCATCGAATGATGGCACACAGCTTTCAACATTCAAATAGCACTACTACCAGCATCAACCGTTCCGCACAACCACGCTAGCAAAGGCAGCCAGCCAGTAAACGAGTTAGCAAATCATACCGACTCTTCCCTGTGTCCTAGTCTGCTATTTAGTGTCCACGAGAACACTTGATGGGAAGAGACAAGATTGAATATTGATAACATTAACAGTGGATTCGAGACAGGCTTCACAAGCCTGCCTGGCCAAACGTTGCATAGCAAACAGGCACTGCTTCGTCTTGAGTTTGTCATGTCTAGTTGTGTTTCCGTCGTCTTGTCACAAATATAGTCTTTCAAATGTAGTTATCTCGTCGTCCACTGTCTGAGTGTGGAGATGGCACGGGGCTGGGAGCAGATGAAGAAAGTCCAGATACAACGCAGGGGTGGTAGAAATCGTTATATCCTGTAGCATTCTAGATTCGTCCTGCGTGGCCTTCGCTCCCAGTTTCCGATGCCATCTCTTATAGGGGTTTCACACTCACATTTATTTTCACGCTACGGCAAAGTATCATAGCAACGACCGACTCTTTTGGGGGTTTTCCCGAAACGTAAACGGGAAAACGGGAAACGTAGACGTGGCACAGGCCACGGTCACGATTTCGTTTACGGCTATGATATTTGTCTTCTTGAGTTTCGGCAATCATGTGAACCAATCATCGTCCAGGAAACTATTTGGCGGGGAAATCCAATGGAGCTGACACGTGGCGGCTGAGAGGATTTCACCTACATAATTATACTCGCAGTCGACACGAGGCTTCTTTCTCATACCACTTCTTGTCAAAACCTGGTAATTGTGATTTCTATCTCCTGCGATCTTGTCGACATGCCTTGCAAGACAGTTGACGAGACAATGGAAGCCATGCTCCTAGAGGCTTGGAGTGAGCTAATGTCGTCAACAGACAAGATGATGAAAAGCCGGCAGTCCAAGGAAAAGTGAGCTGTTGAAATCCTCAACTTCCGCCTCGAGAAGATTCAGAATGAAAAGCAGTTCACAGCGAACGAGGTGCGAAACAAGATAGACTCACTGAAGAAGAAGGGGAGGGAGCAAACAGGGTGGGATGCCTGCACAGCAGTGTCCATTTTTCTCTGCAGCTTCACTTGAAATTCTTCAGCTCCATCTCGCGTTGATGTTGCGTCAAGATACTCAAATTCAAAATTTCACCACTTTCCTGCACGGGTGTACGTGCTATGGATGATGACGCAATGCTTATCTCCATGGGAACTGCTGCAAAACGTGGGAGAAAAGTGTAAGTGTGAATGCATGGCCGCGAAGAGCTACGTTTTCAACTCCTAAAACGTGAAAATAAACGTGAGTGTGAAACCGCTATTAAACGTCCTTTCGTCAGTCGTCAAGCAGTTCGCCCGTCGCCATCGTCCCTCATGAATCGTCTCTCCCGTCTCTCGTCAGTCGTCGTCATAGATTGGTCCCGGACACGACGTAAAACTGTGCCCAGAAGTCCGAAAAAATTGAAGAAGCCAAGTGCGGACGTTGAGCAAAGTACCTGTCAGAACGCAGCATCGGTTAGAAGCACAGCAGCAGCAGCCAATCCTACCAGGACTAGCTGGTTGTAGTTTGTATCACACTCCGTGCTAGTGTGCAATGGAAATCCCAGGAATTCGTTACACTCCGTGCTAGTGTGGCATGGAAATCCCCGGAATTCGTTACACTCCGTGCTAGTGTGGCATGGAATTTGTTACCAGCCGAGGCTAAGAGGTGCCCCAAGCAACCGTGCCTTCAAAGACACTGCGAGTAGCTACAACTTGTACCTGCCAGACAGTGATGTGTTGTCCAGCGATGCAGGTGAGGCTACTGCCACAGTGCAAAAGAAACGGTGTGATGAGTGTGCTGAGGATACTGTAGCAGTAGCTGTTTGTATGGATTGTGGTGACAATTTCTGCACTGACCATGCCAGGGTGCATCCAACCTCACGCAGATCATAGAAACACAAGGCTGTGCCACTCAGTGAGGCTGGTTCATCCACTCCTGACGCACTAAGGCCCAGTGCGGGTGCAAAGTGGCCACTGCCCTATACGCCCTCATCTCCTGCCGTCAAGTCAGACTGGACAAGCTGCCTGCTGTTCGAACAATCGGCATCTGCGAAGTCCTTCACCGCATCATCGGGAAAGCTATCCTGACGATCACCAGCGACCATATCCAGCACACAGCAGGCACAGTTAACTCTTCAAAGGCACGAGGACACAGTAGAAGTGACTATCCACACAACAATAGCGATGCTCCAATCCGAGGACATGAAATGCCTCCTCCTGGCGGACGCAAGTAATGCATTCAACAGGCCCAACCGAAAATTTGTGAAACTACAGTACAGGTCGTCCCCCGTTAATACGAGTCCGGTTAGTACATAAACCCCGTTAGTACATAAGAAATCTCAAGTCCCGGACGAAACGTGGTCACTTCCATACAAATTTTGTCGGTTAGTACATAATTCGTTAGTACATAAACCCCGTTAGTACATAACATTTCTCCGTACCCGCATGTCATCTACCTCAATAGTACATAATTTGTTGGTCTTTTGGCCTTCCAGTAGAGGCACATCGTGTTCTAGTTTCTACTTCTGGACGCAATTAGCTCAGAAACCAGACCGCACATCACAAACCGACAAAGCTCTGTTTTTTTCCGTTTGACTGTACAGGCGCGGCTGGGCATGTATCATGTAAACTGTAGAATCTTCGCTAACTGTGACCGTTATAACATAATTTTTATGTTATATCGAGGGAATCAAGAATATCTCGCTGCCTAGTCGTGGTAGCAAGAAACACTCAGAAAAGTTGAAAAAAGTGAAAAATTCCGGTACACAAGCAAGTTATGTACACTTTCGTTTAGTACATAAACCCCGTTAATACATAACATTTGTCAAGTCCCAGAGATTATGTATTAACGAGGGACGACCTGTACTCTATAACATGTCACATTAGGTGCATTAAATTTCGGTGCCCGGGACCTGCCAGATTTCAGGTGTAATGTAGAATTAGGTGACCAGAATTCCATTCACATACAGTGCATTCTCTGGTGCCTTATAAAAGTTTTTTATATTTTTTTTCACGGTTCGCGTGAGACTCGGCTGGAAGCAGGGTTTTCCGCATCCGTAGGAACGCCACCACCCTTCAAGGATCAAGGCGCAGATGCAGCTCCTAAAGCGGTGCCTTATAAGTGTAATCTAAATTTTGGTGCCTGCTTTCTCTACCGAAATCACCGAAATTAAAGTTACACCGAAAATATCGTGTTTTACAGTAAGCTCCCAAGAGTGTGCAACTCTGCATACTCTGCATACAGGGTCGCCGGCGGCGAAAACTCACATCACGTGTTCCCGAGTACGATTTGTACAACGTACACCGAAGGCTAGCGTGCGCGCAGTCCAAGTGCCTGCCATGATCATGCTGATGACTCGCATACGCTGAGTGGATTTCTGTCAGGGAGTGCTACTTGTGCAACTCCACTTGTCACTAAAACCGGACTCAGAACGTACAACAGCAACACTACACGGCATGATGTGAGTTTTCGCTGTCGACGGACCCCATAGAAAGGGTATCGAGAGGTGCACAAACTGCACACGTTTGGCAGTTTATGTACTCTGGTGCTATGTCAACCAAGACGAACAACATGTTTGAACTGCGTGGACAACCAAGCCCAGCCCAGGTAGCAATACTATCGGTCGTGCACTTACCAGCCTCCACTGCCAATGAAGCCGACCGACTGAACAACATTGTACACACACTGGCAGAAGAACGTTACGAAAAAGATCATGAAGCGAAGAGAGCTATCCGACCTGCACTCAATGCAAACAAACACGCACGCACAGCCACACATGCACAGCCACACAGCCACACACACCACGCACAGCCACACACACACACACACAGAACAGGAGCAATGAGTGAACACCTTGCACAGGTTTCAGTCAAGCCCAGGGTGGGGGGAGAGGAATTCATATTCAGCGCAGTGCTGGCATGCATACATTTCAAAAGTGGAAGTACCTGTAGTGCAGACACATGCGCACATCACTCATAAATCAAAGTACTTGTATGCACACAGGTAGATAGCAATGTCATCATAGACATAGTGCTACAACACAACAACATGCCGAGAAGTCAGTTGCTGCTCAACCCCGAGCTAGTGCTGCTGACAGATGATAGCTTTGGGCACGAAACTCAAAAGAGTCGCAGCGAATAACTTGCTCCTTTCCAAGCACATCATTAGAATCCGCATGCCACCAGACACGGGCTTATAGCATTGTATAGACACTGGGCTACAGTAGTGTTGGGCGCCGAACAACAACCAGGCTAGAATTTCATCAGCACAGCATACCAACGTATACATGGTGGCTCAAACTGTGCATAGGCTGTGATACAGTCAGACCTCGCATAACCGCACACATCCGTTCTCCACAAAAATATCCGGATAGGCCAGGGAGCCGGATAATCAAACATACATACTGTATGTCTGCATGACATATGCTGTAAATCGGTAACCAACGATTTTCTTCCGGATGGCGAGGGATCCGGATAAAAGAGGACCGGATAAGCGAGGTCTGACTGTACATGAAAATAAGAACGGTCTAGGCTAGGAGACTGACTACCCAGTTCTTCGGCGACCGACAGTACAGTATGGCAAAGAGAGAACTTACTTGAAAGCCCTGTAGGCACAGTGATACCAGCATATAAAGGAGCATGGCGAGTAGAGAATGAACCAGAGAACCGCGAAGCCAAAGTCACTGCCAAAGTCGCCAGTGTCGGCAAACAGCACGAGTAGTGCAATCATGTTGTAGAAGTAGGTGAAGACAACAGCTGTACAGGATACACACAGCGCACACACACGCAGCACCATGTACCATCACATACACACACACACACACACACACACACACACACACACACACACACACACACACACACACCCATACACACCCAGCAGCGCACATAAAACGTGCAAGGTTAGCTCGAGGATAGCATATCAGCACAGGCCTGCACTGGCATACAATATACTGTTAGAGTTAAACTATAAAGAACTAGAAAGAATCCATCGTTAACTTCAGAAACGTTACACGTATGTTATGCCTTCTCTCCTCCTCTGTACTAGAGAAATAGAAAACAGGTGTGATGGAATGGTCGTTAAACTTTGTACCTGCTAATAAGTGGGTCATTTTTGCAAATCGTTAAACTTTAGACTCGCCACACTTTCAACTCTTACAGTAACATAATTCTCCTAAACTGTTTCACTGTACAATACATGCATTAGTAAGCCACAGCATCAGCTCAGCTCCCAACAGCATCAGCTCAGAACCTCCCCCCCCCCCCCCCCCGGCATCAGCTGAGTACACACAGCATCAGCTCAGCCCCCCCCCCCCCCCCCATCAGCATCAGCTCAGAACCCCCCCCGCATCAGCCGAGTACACACAGCATCAGCTCAGCCCCCACCCCCCCCCCCCACACACAGCATCAGCTCAGAACCCCCCCCCCCCCCCCCCGGCATCAGCTGAGTACACACAGCATCAGCTCATTAGCCACAGCATCAGCTGAGTACACACCTTCCCAGTAGATGAACAGGGTCCTGACAAGCTTAGCATCACGTGACGGGATCTCCAGTTGAATATTGTGATAGAAGCATGGTTTCACAGGGCAGCAACTGGGCAGAGGGGGGAAGTTTGGATCGCGACCTATGCCAACACAACACAGAACATAGCATATGTATGTAAGCAAAGAGTTGTCAACCAAAAAATCAAGGACGTCACAATGTCCAGAGTGGCATGGCCATGAGCTTGAATTATCCACTGTCCGAATCTACAATGAACCTAATGCATATGGTCAAATACGGAATGTATGAGTAATGAACATACATACATTGGCGTCATGAATGGACTGTTCAGCCCCCTACATAGCCATCCGGCAGGTGCTCCTGGTACTAAACTATGCCATTGCGCAATGGGGCTATACAGAACGGCATTGCTACACGTGTACAGTGTTGTCATGGGTGGTAAAGGCATAGTGCACTGTGCATACCGGCAATGCATGCACTGTAAGGCTGGTCTAGCCTGGACAGGATTGGAGAATGGAGATGTCAAATCCACAGTGCATCCTCAGACAACTTGCGTCAATACAATACATGTATCGAGAGAGAGAGAGAGAGAGAGAGAGAGAGAGAGAGAGAGAGAGAGAGAGAGAGAGAGAGAGAGAGAGAGAGAGAGAGAGAGAGAGAGAGAGAGAGAGGCAGAGAGACAGTGGGGGAGGAAGAATTGCACAGGATAAAGGGGGAGAAATACCTCTCAACACATAGAAATGACTTACGGGCTAGCTCCAGTTGCTGAGCAGCGCTAAGCTGGACGGTCTCACTAGTGGTCTCGGTAGCAGCGGTGCCTGTACCAGTGGCTGATAGGGTAGGAGTGCTTTGAGCACCCTGCCCATTCACAGCAGTAGCAACACCACACAAGCAGAATACACGTACGGTACACTTTAGTGAACCACACCTCCAAGCACAATAAACATGCAGTATGGCACATTGCTTATACCTACCGAACTTCCCCGATTATAAGTCGCACACCCATTTTCAGGTTTGAGCCATATTGTTTCAGCATGTTCACTTCAGCAGTAAGTCGAGCCCAATTGTAAGTAGCAACCCACTTTTGCCCTTGAGTTTTAGTGTGAAAAGGTGCGACTTATATTCAGGGAAATACGGTAGTTTCTATATAGGCAGTAGAAGGGTGGTGGCTATCAAGAGTACATAATCCCCAAGAGAGTGTGCAACTCCAGCTATGGGGTCTGCGGGGGCAGAACTTCACATCACATGATAAACCCGTATACACTACTTGCACCTGTGCACGGAAGATGCAGGGTTGTACGCAGCCGTGCTTTGGGTTCAACTCACTGCTGGTCACTGTGCACAGCTTGCCAGCGTAAGCCGTTGAACCATGTCAAGTGATTCGAAAATAGTTTGAACTTACCGTGTCATTTGCAGTGGCCGCTTGCAGTGGAGTTGTCTGTCCGCTATTTTCACCAGGGAACTACACAGAAAAGCAGAGACACGGGTGGTTAATGAACCGCCCAACGGCCGACACACACACGCGCACATACACACACGCACATACACACGCGCGTGCACACACACACATACACACATACGCACGCGCGTGCACACACACACATACACACACACATACGCACACGCATGCACACACGCATGCACACACACACATGCACACATGTACACACTTACACAACCACACATACAAACTAGCAAGCAGGCAGAGCACTTGCCACGTACAACAATGTTGCAAAGAGTATGTCACACTCTTTGCTTTATGTCTGATGCAAAGAGTATGACATACTCTTCACAACAGACATAAAGCATTTTTTCAGGACCATGCATTTCGGTATACCAGCCATTTGACCTAGGACAGCAACTGGGCTAGATAGTGCATGCACAGAGTGGTATGTCCCTTGGAGGTAGGCTCTACTCCACTTTCAATGTAGCACAAAAAATCAGCAAGACAGCTGCGGAGTAGCAGAGTAGCATCAAATCAGGTATTCACGTACAGTTAAGGGTTCTTGGGCTGCCGGTGGTGGCTGATATGCAGGTGGCGGTGGCTGTAACACAGCAGGGGCAGGAGCAGTCTCGAGCGTTGCTGCTGCTGCTGCTGGTGGTTGCACGACTGGTGTTACACTTGTAGTGCCAGACGATCGGCCCTGGATGAGAGAGAGAGAGAGAGAGAGAGAGAGAGAGAGAGAGAGAGAGAGAGAGAGAGAGAGAGAGAGAGAGAGAGAGAGAGAGAGAGAGAGAGAGAGAGAGAGAGAGAGAGAGAGAGGGAGAGGGAGAGGGAGAGAGAGGGAGAGAGAGAGATTCACATACAGCAAGTACAAGAATCGAAACGCGTGTGTTTCACAGCCACTTAGAGCCACAACCCCACCACTGCAGACTGTTTGATAACATGGACAGAGGATCAAATGCTGATATTCTATTCATATTGACGCAGTCAATTTCATAGTGTCCCGATTGCGTGCCAGTGCACCTAATGCCCTAGGGGAATTAGCTCAGGCGGTGTAGAGTAAACCATTTACCAGCAAGCTCTTGAAACAATGCTAACAGAATCAGTGTACGAGTGTAAATGAGAGACACACACACAAACGTACACATACGAACACACACACACACACACACACACACACACCAGACATGACAGACCGACACACACACACGGCAAAGCAGAACATCAAGCACTTACAGATGTAATCTCGCCGTCACCAGCAAAGGGATTGTATTCTTCTAGACCAGCCCCCGCTGGTGTTTTCGTTGTTGCATACTGGGTTACAGCTGGATCCTGCCACAATCAACAAATTAGGATCAGCTTAGGTCAGCATGTATGTACATAACTACATACATACACACACACACAAAAGCATGCACACACAGACTATACACACACACACACACACACACACACACACACACATACTTGCACATGCTCACTGGCAAACCTGGTTACGCGGTTCTCCCCGGGAGAGGGGAGAGAGACTCAAAAGGAATCTTGGAAAGACGACTTAATTGGCTATTGCACCACCCAATGGCTGACATATACCTGTCCCCACAGAATAACGCGGACAAAATCAAACCCAGACAAAACCCAGGCCCCAGCGATTTGAACGCTTGGGGCCTGGGTTGGCAGTTTGGTGCATACAGTCCGCAATCTGCACGCAAGGTCTAGCTAGGGATAATCAGCTGATACTGGTTTTGAATGGCAAAGCATAATGTGTGTATACAGGTCGTCCCCCGTTAATACGAGTCCGGTTAGTACATAAACCCCGTTAGTACATAAGAAATCTCAAGTCCCGGACGAAACGTGGTCACTTCCATACAAATTTTGTCGGTTAGTACATAATTCGTTAGTACATAAACCCCGTTAGTACATAAACCCCGTTAGTACATAACATTTCTCCGTACCCGCATGTCATCTACCTCAATAGTACATAATTTGTTGGTCTTTTGGCCTTCCAGTAGAGGCACATCGTGTTCTAGTTTCTACTTCTGGACGCAATTAGCTCAGAAACCAGACCGCACATCACAAACCGACAAAGCTCTGTTTTTTTTCCGTTTGACTGTACAGGCGCGGCTGGGCATGTATCATGTAAACTGTAGAATCTTCGCTAACTGTGACCGTTAAAACATAATTTTTATGTTATATCGAGGGAATCAAGAATATCTCGCTGCCTAGTCGTGGTAGCAAGAAAAGTTGAAAAAAGTTGAAAAAAGTGAAAAATTCCGGTACACAAGCAAGTTATGTAAGTTATGTACACTTTCGTTTAGTACATAAACCCCGTTAATACATAACATTTGTCAAGTCCCAGAGATTATGTATTGACGAGGGACAACCTGTATTGTGGTGGTGCTGGTGGGGATGGCTGGTCTGAGAAAGACTGACAAGTGAATCGCTTCATGTGTCCACTCCCAAAGGTAAACATAATGGACAAACCCGACACAGTGTACTGTACAGCAGGACATGTTTGGACGGGAATGTTTTCGAACAAAGCCGAATTTCGACCATTCGTACGGATTTTATTTTCGGACAGTGCTGTATGCTAAACGAACGTGTTCGCATGCAGCACGCACGTGCCAAGACGCATTGCGTGCGTGTTATGGCTAGCTAGCTGTACTATGAATTGCACTGTGCCACTACGGGTACGCTCTAGTCCTGAACGGGAGCCAGCCATTCATGATGTACACATCATGTATAGTGTGTATAATTTCACATGAACAAATTTTAGTACAGAATTAATTTTAGTACAAAAGAGGCCGTGTACGGAATCGTACGAAAATAAATTCCGTCCGAAAATTTCCCGCTATTACGGTGGCGGGTGTAGTGCATGCAGTGTGCACACACTGGTCAGTTGTACAGTGACCCAGTCCCTACACGGCCACTGCATGTCTGGTGTGGCCTGGGTAGTCTAGCACACACCTACTGTACTCTGTACGGCTGATTCCTGGCCGCAGAGTGCACTCGAACGTCGCTTATCCGGGCACCTTGGGACTGGGCATTGCCCGTATCTCAGATGTGTCCGTATCTCAGCACAGATCATCTACCATGTATTATACCAGTTTTGAAGAAGTTTATTTGGAATGTATTGCATACGTTCAGGATACGAAAGGAACCCATTGATGAAAATGTGTGGATTACATAGGCTGGCGGTGAAAAATAAGCACTTCCACATACGGAAAAAAGTTCAAAATTCCCAAATTCGAAGCATTTGTGCTATAGGAACTCAAGCTGAAGGTGCCCGGTAGAGAGACGTGCCCGTACGTGAGGCGTCCGGATAAGAGACGTCCGAGTGTACTAGTAGATCAGAGCAAGAGTACATGAAACGCAGAGTGTGCAGCCCAGGGCATTTTCTACTATGGGTGTCTGTCACGGCGGAATTCCGTGATTACATCATATTCGGCGCAGATCTGAGGTGGGAGTGGCGTAGTGCGTACAACTGAGCTGCAGACCAGTTGTGCAGAAAGAGACCTACTTGAATCCTGCTTGTACGCACTACATAACTAAAAAGGTGCAGTCGCGGAATTTCGTCGTGACAGCAACCCCTCAGAGCTGCACACTCTGGGTATCATGTACTCATGATCAGAGGGACAACCAAACTCCTACTTTCAGACTTTTATACACAAACAAACAGACAAACAGACAAGCACAAATACACCATTATTACATGTTTATTAAACATCCAATTGTCTTGGCACAGCAATGCTACTTGTACGTGGCTACCGCAGGCGGGGGATCCCGGGAGACGAAGATAAGAAGGCCTACGACTACCCATACCATACATCTACCTAGCATCACTAGATCACTGGACGTTAGTTTGCACCTTGACCTCTTGCAAGGTTCGTGTACGTGGATGCTACACACACACATCTCAAAGATGGGCGAAAATAGAACACAGCCAATTACCGTATAAACTTGTACTCAACACAAATATTAAATTTTCATGATGACACTTCAACGAAGTGATTAGGCAAGAAAACACTCGAAACTAAAACACTTCCGCTCGCAATCAAGCCTTGTTGAACAAGCTACGACCTACACCATCATCAGAGCTATGACATAGAACCCAATGAAGTAAATTTCCCAGTGGGCCCATCAGGTATTACTTGTGCGAAAAGCAGACACAAGACTGCACTCATCCAGTAGCAAATCGACCACACAACAAATCTTACAGCAAAAGGATTGGCAGCTTCTGGTTCTGCGAACGGGTTCCTATCGAATCCGCTCATGATTCACAACTCTTGGTGGCGACACGAAGAAGACACTCCACAGCACTGGTGGGCAACCCAGAATGGCTTGAGCTCTACGCACTCTCGTCTCGGCGGAAACACAGTGCGAAAGGTGCCGAGGAAATACACCACAAACAGTCAGGCTGAGGCCAGGACAACTAAAAACTGCTGTCATAAATTCTTTGCTCTGCGAGCTTCGCTGTCATCATGCTAGCATGCTGTGTAGCCTGTGATGGTGATGCGCTCGATCGATATCGATGTAGGTCGACGTCTGGATCATGCTGATGCATGGCCTGAATACTGTACGTATGGATCGATCATCTTGCGAGCGGATGTGTGAAAAAAATATGATCGATATCAGAACAGAAAGCTAGCCACAGACGTCACATGTCACATGTGATGACGAGTTTTTTATTTTTTATTATTTAATATTAGGCCACACGTTTTTCCTATGTTTCTCGTCAGCAAATTTTAACAAAAGGTATGCGGGCGGGCGGAAAAAAAACAAAAGCCAAGGAAAAAACAAGAACAATTTCTACTGAAAACTGTATACATTTTACATGTACATGTATACCTGGTATACCGGTATGCGTGATTCATACAGGACACTGTGTAGTGTGTATACAATGTATAGAGTACTACATTGTACAATCATGTACATGTAGTCCCATACATGATTGCACTACATTATCACATCAGCCCACGAATATCAGGCAAACTGCAACAAATGAGAGTATAAAGTTTGATGAATACGAGATGGCGAAGAAAACATACATTTATCTGCTATCGCATCAACAAACGCTTTCCCAATGGTCTTTTTTGGTTTTGTTACTTCAACGTTCTTGTGTCCGCTGATCAAACTCTTGTCTCCACGCTGCTCATCTTTTCCTCGCCACGCGTCTATTGCTTGGATTTTCTGCCCACGACATCGTTCCACAGACGCCAGTTGCCACGGAACTTGTCCGATTTACGGTATTCCTGGGACCCACGAGGCTCAGGCAGTGAACGACTGAAAGCTTCGTCATGGCAGCCTTCATCGCAGAGGACAGATAGGACGGGGAGCCGGAGCGCTCCTTTGCTGCTGTGGTGCAAACGTTTACGATTTTGATTGACACATTTAGCTGCTGCAGCATGTGCAGTGTTCATACATGTACGTAGTATGAACTTTTTTTTTTCTTCGAAATTTCTGAAAACCTACGCGGGCGATGACGAGAAACATAGAAAAAACAAAGTGTGGCCTTATCAAGAGTCCATAACATGAAGGGCTTCATTGCAAAACGAGATAAATCCATTTTGACCAATTTTCAGGAGGAGCGATTTTCTGTGATCAACAACTGGGTGGGTTTGGGTCAAATCTAACTTATTATTAGCAGATGAGAAGAGTAGGGTGATGTATGCAAATACAGGCTTTCTCAAAAATCAGGAGCCATCCATTTTCTCAAGCAAGGTGATTCTTCAATATTTTCGGGCAAAACCAGATATATTCGCTGGACTAATCAGTATTAGGCCACACTTTGTTTTTTCTATGTTTCTCGTCATCGCCCGCGTAGGTTTTCAGAAATTTCGGAAGAAAAAACAAGTTCATACTACGTACATGTGTACATGTATGTACGCTGCACATGCTGCAGCAGCTAGATGCGTCAATCAATAATCGTAAACGTTTGCACCACAGCATGCAGCAAAGGAGCGCTCCTCGTCCGTTCTCTGCGATGAAGGCTGTCATGAAGAAGCTTTCAGTCGTTCACTGGCTGAGCTGAGCCTCGTGGGTCCCAGGAACAGTAAGTCGGACGAGTTCCGCGGCAACTGGCGTCTGTGGAACGATGTCGTAGGCAGAAAATCCAAGCAATAGACGCATGGCAAGGAAAAGATGAGCAGCATGGAGACAAGAGTTTGATAAGCGGAGACAAGAGTTTGATAAGCGGACACAAGAACGTTGAAGTAACAAAACCAAAAATTAATGACGAGTGGGAAACGTTTGTTGATGCGATAGCAGATAAATGTATGTTCTCTTCGCCATCTCGTAATCAAACTTTATGCTCTCATTGACATTGTTGCAGTTTGCCTGATATTCGTGGGCTGATGTGATAATGTAGTGCAATCATGTATGGGACTACATGTACATGATTGTACAATGTACATGTATACAGTTTTCAGTAGAAATTGTTCTTGTTTTTTCCTTGGCTTTTGTTTTTTTTCCGCCCGCCCGCGTACCTTTTGTTAAAATTTGCCGACGAGAAACATAGAAAAAACAAAGTGTGGCCTTATGAGAGAAAATACAAGTGCAACGACTTCACTGAGGTCGGAACTCTGAAGGAGCTCAGCAGCAGCAGCACTGCCAGCAGCAGTGTCGTCCCTCCCTGACGAGCATACTGCCCTTTTCAGTTTCGAAAGCGAAAAAACAACAGCTACGAAGAAGATGATACAAAAAGAACGAAATGACAACGTCGATGCAGCTGCTGCAAAGCAACAACACGAAAACACTGTACTTTGAACTCTGACATCGACATTTTGCACAGATTCAGTCTAGTCGCGATGCTTGCCGCGTGCTGCGCCAGCACGTACTCGCTGGCTTGTCACACTCACACAGTCACAGGTCACGTTGGCCCGCTCGACTGGATATGTCGCACTTTGCTCGAAAACATCGGTGGTGTTTATCGCGTTTTGCAGTAGAACGTCAACTTCAACGTTGATTTTCAGTGGGATATGTCTCGTTTTGGAGAATTCTTTTTGGCCATCAGATGCAGTGATCCCTACTGATTCGATTGACACCGAAAACGCCATATGCATGAAATTGGCGTTTAGCGCGTTTTGCAATGAAGCCATTCACATGGACTCTTGTTATTTGAGGGATTCCCCAAAGGCCGAAGCCTAAATCAAGGGGGTCTCCGAGAATAAATATACGTGTACAATGCGTGTGCAATAGGGTGCAATTCTTAAAAGAAAGAAAATATTACGATAAAAAAAGATTAATGTGAAGAGGTTATTAATAAGAAGTCTGAGTAGAAGCAAGCGAAAAGGGTACTGGTAAAGAAGGGGGATAATCAGGAAGTGAGAAAACCTCGAGGATGGAATCTATACCTGTGGAAATGGGACTTAACGTGCCGGCTAAATACACCACGGGTTTCAGATATCCTAATCTCGGTAGGCAGGGAGTTCCACGTGGTGATCATGGAATGTAGTAGAGTGGATCGGAAACAGGGACCAGTGTGAGTGGGCAGGAGGTAAAAGTGGGGACGTCGTGCACTCTTGGATAGAACTATGTTGAGATTATTGAGGGTTTCCGGGCGGGTGAAATGGTAAAACAGTTTGAGGCAATGTATATGCCGCCGCCACGCAAGACTTTCCCATTCAGCAGCTTCAAACACGTTCTCCATGCCATGAGGAATGGGCACTTTCCGACGGTGTAAATCAGGGAGTAGTAAAATACATACTGTATTTCACTACTCCCTGGTGTAAATACTGCCTGGCCACGCGTGCTTGCAATCGTTCCAAAGTGTCAATATTTCCTGCGGTCAGTTTGTTATTCCACAGAGGTGAAGCATACTCAATGGAGGGACGGACGTATCCTTTGTAGAGGCGGGCAATGAGAGCAAGGGTCAGATTGGGTGACATGTAGGATAGCAGAACAACGCGACGACGAAAGTTGGAGGTGACACTATTGATGTGAGTCTGGAAAGACAGGCGGGGATCCAGGGTGATTCCTAGATGGCGGTGGGTAGTCGAGGGACATAGGTCTGCAGCATCCACACGCAGTGCTGGGGCAGGAGTCTGGGCGGGGTCAAGTTTGCCGAATACAACACGCACGGATTTAGCGGCATTAAACCTGCCACCAAATGTAGCAGCCCAGTCCATCACCATGTTCACTGCTGACTGGAGCTGTTGAGGTGCTGCTGCTGGCGGTCGGGATAACCCCAGCGCAGTATCGTCAGCATAGAGGTATGTTTCCGTCCTGTTGCCATCAGGGATTGATCTCGGGAGGGTATTAATGTACAGGAGAAATAGGATGGGGCCAAGGTGGGAACCTTGAGGAACTCCCGCCGAGATAGGGGCGAGGGGGGAAAGGTCTTCGCCAACTTTGACCTGTAACTTGCGAGCTGCAAGGTAACCTGCAAACCAAGTAGTAGCCGTTGGGTTGCATAGTGGTTGTAGAAGGGCCAGAAGGGTAGAATGCGGGACGCGATCAAATGCCTTGGCAAAATCCAAGAAGACCACATCATACTCCTGGCTGCTGTCCATGCTCTTGGCGGCGCTAGCCGTTAAATGTATCAGTTGGTCAACTGTGCTCCGACCGTGTACAAACCCGAACTGATCCGAAACTATTACATCTTCATTCCTAAGGAACCTGCTAAGACGGCGCGCGACAATCGAATCAAGCACTTTGGCGACCGAGTTCAAGAGAGAAATAGGGCGGTAGTTCTAGGGTTCAGCTGTGGAACCTCTCTGCTTATATATTGGTACAACTTGCGCCGTTTTCCACGATGGTGGCAGGCGGCCTTGTGTTATACTTAAATTAAAGACTTTGCAGAGGGAGTGGGCAATGACACCAGCGGTCTCCTTCAGAATGCGGTTCGGGATGTCACCACCGGCAGCTTTATGGACAGGCAATCTCTTGAGAGTATCAAAGACGTCGTAGGCAGATATAACTGAGATATCGAAGGGGAGTTTGATCGAGTAGCTACGTCGATGTGACGTAAGAGGCCGGAAACAGACGCTAGACGTCGCCTGCCGGCGCGGCGCGGCGGCAGTGCCGGGTGCATGTGCGCGACGCGTGCCGCATCATGACCAGGTTTATCATGACCATCATGACCAAGGTCCAGGGCCATGCGCCAGGGGGCCGGGGCAGGGGCAGGGACGTAGATCTACTCAGGGATATTATAATATCCGGTAGGGGTGTGCGGATAATGCTCGAAAAGGTGGCAGATTCTGCTCGAAAAGCAGTGAAATTGGCAGAACCATGCAAACCTTATGCCGGGCAATTCCTCGAATTCTGCTCCATTTCTTTATCCACATACCAAACATGCACTATCTGTCTGGGCGCCATCAACGCGTTCGTATGGGCTCCCGACTGGGCAGAACTGTACCGTGCAGTGACGGTGCACTTGAAGTTGTGGTGTGCCGCAGGGCTCTGTACTAGGACCCATATTGTTCTCCATATACACCAGAGATGTCCTCTCTGAATCTGCCCCGGCATCATCAATGCAGTTTGCGGATGACATCGCCCTGACATGTGCAAGACGGACAGCGCAAGAGGTGTCTGATGCGCTCAGCTTGGCGGTTACCTCTCTGGCAAGTAACTTAGTTGGCTGGACGCTCGTGGTCTTGTATTAAAGGCAAAGAAGAGCAATGTAGCAGTGGGCAGCAGCCGGACGTGGTGGTACGCTGTCGAAATGATGTCCTTCCGCACACTACCAGCGTGAAATACCTCGGCGCCACACGGTCTTGATCGATGAACGAATGGCCTGGTAACCGCAAGTTGACCGGTGCATCTCACGCACTGCTAGGAAGATCGGTAGTCTGTGGCGGGCGCGACGCTGCCTCACTCTAGCTAGTCGAAGCAAGTACTTCCTATCCGTCATCATGCCGGATTTGATATAATTATGGATCGTCAGCATATGGCTCCGGCTTGACCCACAACCAGCTAAACCGCTTGCAGGTGGCCCAAAACCGCGCAGCAAGGGCGGTGTTCGGACGACCACGATTTACCAGGGCCAGTGACCTCTAGGAGAGGCTCTCTGTTTATCGCGTGGACGAGGTATATCGCCAGAAACTGCTCGTGCTGGTATGGCGGTGCGTTCATAACCGTGCCAGTCCTGCTCTGCAGGCACTGTTTGTTCGCAACTGCGGAGCAACTCGCCTTCAGCGCAGTCTGGGCCTACAGCAACCAATAGCCAGAAGCCGAGCAGGCCAATGCCGATCGGCATCTCGCGGTTGCCTGTTATGGAACCATAATTATACCTTACACGATGCGAGCTGTTCACGAGGCTCTCCTTGACTATACATTAGATAGTGTGTCTGGACACGGACTATTGGATGCATTGTTCTGTGCATGTATGGTACTTTAGGTAACTGCAGGCTAGACGAGCCATACCGATTCTATGTGCATGCCCTACAGCATTATGGCGCTTTGCTGGTTTGTATTCATCCATTTTCACGGTACTTAGACATTTGAGGTAGACGTGTAGGCGCCTTTCCATAGATCATGTCAATAGACTAGTAGTGGGCACGCCAGACACTTTGTGGCATCGCCGGTGTTTCAGTATTGTCAGTTTGCACCTATGTGGTCGCAGTTCTATCGCGACAAGCTGTGCATTTGCCTCTAGGCAATTCACCTTTCCTTAGCTACGCTGCAGTTGTGCTGCGATATTCATCTATAGCATAATATTGGTCTGTGTGATCGAATCCATGTGTTCAATGCATTCTAGGTTGCTAACATAACAAACCAGACCAGACACGGTATGGACTCATGATTGTATGTAGGTGTGAACAAGTTAGTTTCTGGCAATGTTGTGGTGTTTGGTTTCCGCCCAACATTGTCGATCTGCATGTTTGCACTAGCGTGCAGCTGAACCAACGCAGCCGAACCAACGTGCCTTGCAATGCTTTGCTAGGCTTTTCTTTCACTGTATCTTTTGGTCACATATAATACCGTACACTTTTGCTTTTACTCTCTCTTTTTAGCACGTTTGCGTTTTGGTTATATCGAAGAACCCAGTGTGTAGTTACGATCCATCACAGTTTCAATGTTTATGGACTAGCGTGGTGTAGTCCTGCGGAACATTAATGGTAGCAGAGGATGGTTGATCGCGTTTCGTAGAAGTTGATTACAGAGAGAACTGTAGTCATGAGCACGTCCGATACCGAAAATCGGAGCACTGCAGGCATGGAGGATGCGGAGCAGGAGGTGGCATCGCAAGCGTCTGGTACGTCACTTTCGGATAGTGAACCAGAGGCGGTCGCCCTGTACTCAGGCAAACTCAGAGCGCTGAAAGTGCAAGTGAAGTCGGACTTCACCAACGCGAGAAGGACCCTGATCGTCGATCTCCGTCGGGTCAGTTCCGGTGAGTTGTCATTTGATCAGGTAGCAAGCTCACCCGTGTTGACTGAGTGTTACGAACGAGCTGCATCCGTAATTGCCGAGCTCGTTAGTGTTTACACCACGGAGGATAACAATAGTCAGGCAGAGAAGATGTTGAGAGAACTTGAGAAGTTGCAAGAAGAATATGCAGAGGCATCGGCCATGATTGTTGAGTATGGCAGAGGCGCAGTAGAAGACCCCGTCCCTAGATCTAGGAGGCTGTATGCAGCACCTCACGATAGTTCGCATGACGAAAGGTCAATTCAGTTTCAAGATAGTAGATACGACGCACGCACACGTGGGGCTAGCCCGTATTTACCGTTACAGAGACGATCGCTGAACTCGCGTCAGCTTTCGCAGAGCCTGAGTGATTTATCCATTCAGGGACCCCGAGATGCCGTGAACGTAGCTGCCGCCATTCACGAGGAGCACCACGCACCAGTTCAGGGATGGCCGCAAGCTAGTGATGAAAGGCGAACGCCAACCGGCCTGAGCGCGGATGGGGGAGATCAAACGAAAGAAATCCAAATCTCCTCAGAGCACGAACAGCAGTCTCAGAGAGAAGTCCCGCAGGTCACGCAGACAGCAGTGGCAGCTCCGCCACCCGCCACGAGTTCGTGTGTCGTACCGCAAACCTCGTCAGTTGCAGGACTCGTGGTGGCGCCGACCGCCTCAAGTGCAACATCCGCTACGAAGACGCAAGCTCCGCGCCAACCACGCGGTGCAGCAGAAGTCACAACACGTGCGACCGCGAGCACTTCGTATAGTGCACAATCTAGCAGTGCAAGTCGGCCTGCCGCGGGCAGGCAGCATCAGGCAAGTCAGGGCATCGCAGCCCACGCATCGCAGGCATCGAAAGTGAGGTCGACGCATTCACAGCCTGCCACTCGGCAGCACTTGACCAGTGCAAGTGCATTTTCTATGCCAAGGATCTACCCTACCCCTGGTGCGAATCCTGCATCTGCTAGTGCAAGCTACATATACAGCAGTAGTAGTTATGGTGCTAACAGCTACAGTGCCATGCCAAGTATGCAATTCAGTAGTCCCAACCAGTATGGAACACAGCAACCTATGTGGACAGGCAACAACATCACGCAGCCTAGCTATGCAACCTATAGCAACGTCCCACAAATGGTCGCACAGACACCAAGCATGACAACTCAGCATGGTCTAGCCTTACCTGCTGCAGAGTCCACCACCATGCCACAACCGCAGAGTGCACTGACGGCACCTCACCAACCGGAACCATGGCGTCAGCTGAAGCAGATCGGCATTCCGACATTCAACGGCGACAAAAGAAAATTCGAGTCTTGGCGTGCGGCGTTCATGGCATGCATAGACGCATCTCCGGCAGCACCAGAGTACAAGCTACTGCAACTCAGGCAGTACCTAGTCGGCGACCCACTGGACTCCATCGATAGCTTAGGCTATTCCCCTGCTGCGTACGAGGCCGCCAAAGCGCTACTGGTCAGGAAGTATGGCGGAGAACGCAGGCGTGTCGCGATCCACGTAGAAGAAATCGAGCAGTTCGGTAAGGTTGGCTACAACAGAGCGTCCGAGTTCGAGAAATTCACGGAGCTCCTCGAGGTAGTAGTCATCAACCTGAAAGACAGCGGCCGGGCCGCAGAACTGGAGGCTGGTACGTTCTACCAGAAGCTCCTCCGTAAGTTCGACGAACGTGTGCTTGCACAGTACCATCGATGGCGGTATGATCGGCAAGTAGAAGAGTCCGTCGAAGCCCTGCTCGAATGGGCACGAGTAGAATCAGAGCTAATGATGATCTCGGCAGAAACGGTGAGCGGCGTAGCAGTAAAAACCACGCCCCAACAGCAGCAACCACCCCGAGATAACCGGTTCCAGAGGCGTAGTGCTCCGCCTAGTCGCAACCACGCATATCATGCTCAACAGAAGAGCGACGTCAACTGTGCAGTATGCAAAGGCGCACATCCCCTGTGGAAGTGTGCGGCATTTAAGGTCATGTCGGTCAATCAGCGTTGGCGGCTCGCCAAGCAGAGCAACGCGTGCTTCCGGTGCTTGGGCAGTGGCCATGCTGGCAAGGACTGCCCCCGTGATCGTGAGTGCCCGGTTAGTGGATGCATCAAACATCACCACCCGCTGCTCCATGGCAGCAATGTTACCGGCAGCGCACAGCCAACTCCGGAAGCTGAGAAGCCCGCACCCCAGACATCACTGGTCACGACTGTCACAGAGGGGGAGCCAGAAGCAGCGACACATGTGGCACAAGGGCGCCGGACGGACCGTGTAGCTCTACGGACAATCCCGGTGACACTGTGCAACGGTCAGCAGTCAGTGACTGTCAACGCTTTGCTGGACGATGCCAGCACTGTGACGTATGTGCACACTAGTATCGCCACTCGACTCGGTTTGAGTGGCAAACGCCAACGGACGACGGTCAGCACGCTCAATGGCAAGCTGGAGACGTTCGAGACTATGCCAGTAGACATCGAGCTGAGGAGTGTTGATGGCAACTTGAAGCAGACGATCACGGCGTACACCACCGACAAATCCGTGACTGGCGACCTTCGCGCAGTCGACTGGCTAGAAGAGGCTAGTAACTACCCGCACCTGAGGGAGATTCCATTCCCAGCGGTGGGAGAACACGACACTGTAGATATGCTGATCGGCAGTGACCAAGTCCAGCTGCACGTATCGACGCGTGACGTCATTGGTGAACCTGGGCAACCTGTCGCTAGGTTAACACCGCTCGGATGGACCTGCGTAGGGAAGCTCAGAGCACCCAACTCCAAGCAGACGCAGGGCCCACAGCCCAACCGTTCGTACTACGTCGGTGGAGACAAGTCAATTGCAGGAGTCGAGCAAGCCCTGCAACAGTTCTGGAAGGTCGACAGCTGTGGCGTCGAGACGGACAATGCGGCTCCAGGACCAACATCGGCAGACGAGGCCGCAGCGGTGAAATTAGTGGAAGACTCCACGCGGCTAGTAGACGGCCGGTATGAAGTATCGATACCATGGAACAGTCGTAAGGCGGAGTTAGTCAACAACGTTGATATGGCGACTAAGCGGCTGGAGTCAACACGTCGACGACTGCAACGTGAACCGCAAGTAGCCCGAGCATACGCCAGAGTGATCCAAGATTACCTCGAGAAAGGATATATCACCGACGTCACTGACGAAGCGCCTACCGACCAATGCTGGTATCTGCCACACTTCGCCATTGTGCGGCCACAGAAGACGACAACTAAGGTCCGGATTGTGTTTGACGCAGCCGCCTCCTACCACGGCATCTCACTTAACGACGCCATCCACGCCGGCCCGAAGTTGCAGCGAGACCTTTGCGATGTTCTCACCCGGTTCCGAAGAAAGCCCATCGCCGTTGCCTGCGACGTAGCAGAGATGTATCTGCAAGTTTCAATACGCCCCGAGGACAGGCCGTACCACCGCTTTTTGTGGCAGGACCCGGCCTCCGATGGTCCGGTCAAGAAGTACCAGTTCAACCGCTTAGTCTTCGGTGTAAACGCGTCGCCATTCTTGGCTCAGTATGTCGCCCGCCAAGTCGCGGACGCAAGCGTCGATACCCACCGATCAGCAGCAGAGGCCATCCTGGACAGTACGTACATGGACGATACGATGGACAGTACTGCCACGGTCGCCGACGGTACCAAGCTCCATGACGACCTAATGGAGCTGTGGGGGAAGGCAAGCATGCGACCGAGAAAGTGGTTATCCAACTCGACTGCGTTGCTGAGTACGATCCCAGAAGAAGAACGCGCAGCGGATGTCGACCTGACGGTGGGAGACCTACCATCGGTAAAAACGCTCGGAGTGACATGGTCTGCCCTCGATGACGAGTTCACGTTCCGCGTGCAGCAACCGGATCTGCCCAAGCGTATCACAAAGCGCTACCTCTTGCAGCGGACAGCAGCCGTATTCGACCCACTCGGCTTCATATCGCCGTTCGTCGTTCGAGGCAAGATGCTGATGCAGGAATGCTGGATGAGTGGCGTCGACTGGGACGAGCAACTTCCCGACGCGATAGTTGATAAAGCCCAGCAATGGTTCCAAGAGTTGAGCGAGCTCAGCAACGTCCGAGTCCCGCGTCAATTTGAAGCATCGACCGGCAAGCTCGAGCTGCATGCATTCTGCGATGCGTCCAGCGAAGCCTATGGAGTTGTTCTGTATGCGAGAAGTGTGCGCGAAGATGGAACAGCGGAGTGCAGATTCCTCGTGTCGAAGAGTCGTGTCGCGCCCACCGCCGCTACCAGCATTCCCCGGCTCGAGCTCATGGCGGCAGTTCTCGGCCATCAGGTTGCCACTCGAATGAGTAAAGTGCTCGACGTGCCACTTAGTACTGTCACCTTCTGGAGCGATAGCACGACGGTCCTCCACTGGATTCGTAGCTACAGTCGGCGGTTCAAACCATTCGTCGCGAATCGCGTCAGCTACATCCAGCAGCGTACCGCACCGCGACAGTGGCGCTACGTCCCTACGGGACAGAACCCAGCTGACCTGGCATCACGAGGAGCTTGCGTCAACGACCTGGTCAACGCAGACCTATGGTGGCAAGGACCGGCGTTTTTGAGCAACGGCTCAACCTGGCCAGCCACGGAGCTAAAGGATACTTCGGGGTTGAGCGACGACCCGGAAGTTCGCAAGGCAGCTGTGCAGGCGTCTGAGAGCGCATTCGTGACGCAGCAGATCACCGTCGTGCAACCAAGCCGCTACTCCAACTGGACGAGACTTGTGAGAGTTCAGAGACTTGTGAGAGTTCAGGCATGGATCAACCGGTTCGTCAATAACTGCAGACAAGGGGACCGCGTCAGCGGAGAGCTAAACATCCAAGAGTTGGAAGCGGCGGAACTTGCCATCATCTACGGAGCGCAGCAGGATGCATTTGGTGACGACATCAGCGCACTGAAGAAGGGGAAGACTCTGCCAGCAGCATCGCGGTTAGCAAAGATGTGTCCGCGACTGGATGAGGATGGCCTACTACGTTGTGACGGCCGCACCCGCCTAGCTGACTGGCTCCCGTACAGCACGCGCTTCCCGATCATTCTACCCCGGAAACATGAAGTTACGTCGCTAATCGTGAAGCACCACCACGAGCTGCGACAGCATGGTGGCACGAACGAGACGCTCGCGGCATTGACAGAACGGTTCTGGCTGGAGTCTGCCCGAGAGGAGAGCCAGTGGGAAGCTGAATGCATGGTGTGCCGACGTCGCAAAGCCAGGACGGCAGAGCAAGTTATGGCGCCGTTGCCGAAGGTCCGGCTCGCTACACCGTTGAGAGCCTTCGCTAGAGCCTCGGTAGACTATGGCGGCCCATACTTAACGAAACAAGGGCGAGGACGCAGCCAAGCCAAACGTTACCTCTGCGTTTTCACCTGCCTGCTAACCCGAGCCGTACACTTCGAGATGAGCTACGGCCTCGACGCCAGCTCGTTTCTTAACGCGTTCTCAAGGATGGTCGCGCGCCGTGGAAAACCGCTGGAGATCATTTCAGATAATGGGACGAATTTCGTGGCAGCCGATCGTGAGCTGAGGGAACTGGTGGAGGCTCTGGATAACGACGCAGTTTTCAAGTCCCTGGCCAACCGTGGGGTGGCTTGGAAATTCAACCCGCCGCTAGCCCCGCATTTCGGCGGAGTCCACGAAGTAATGGTTAAGGCGGCGAAACGCGCCCTCAAGGCAGTTCTCGGCAATGCTGACCTGACGGATGAGATGCTGGCAACTGCGCTCACGAACGCCGAAAGCCTTATGAACAGCAGACCGCTCACGTACCAGTCGGCCAGCCCTGACGACAGCTCGCCGCTAACGCCGAACCACTTTCTGACGGGTCAGATGGGCGGTCAGTTCGCCCCAGAAAGCGTAGACACCACAGGTTTCCACCCCAACCAGCGATGGCGGCAAGTTCAAGACGTGGTGAAGCAGTTCTGGCGGCGCTGGCTCAAGGAGTGGGTGCCGACTCTCAACGCGAGACGGAAGTGGCTAAAAGAACGGAGAGACGTGGCAGCAGGAGACATCGTCTTGGTATTGCAACCGGATGCACCACGTGGGCACTGGCCACTCGGACGCGTCATGGAGACCAAGCCGGGCCCAGATGGTCACGTGCGTGTTGTGGAGGTGCAAGTCGGCGGGAAGCGAATCACCCGTCCCATCACCAAGATCTGCCCGCTAGATGCATAGAGAAGATGGCAGCTAGAGCTGTACGTATTCAGTTATGGTGGTAACACAAGTAAGACAGAAGCAGTAGTTCAATAGATGCAGCATACATTGCAGGCATATCACATAAGCACCACAGTGTTATCATTTTTATGTTTACCACATCTTTTTGCCACGCAGTGATTAGACCGATAGAGGTACAACACATGAAATTGTAAGCTAGGTAGTAGTGGAATACGCTGCGAGGTAACTCATCGCGTATTCGAGGGGGAGGATGTTCACGAGGCTCTCCTTGACTATACATTAGATAGTGTGTCTGGACACGGACTATTGGATGCATTGTTCTGTGCATGTATGGTACTTTAGGTAACTGCAGGCTAGACGAGCCATACCGATTCTATGTGCATGCCCTACAGCATTATGGCGCTTTGCTGGTTTGTATTCATCCATTTTCACGGTACTTAGACATTTGAGGTAGACGTGTAGGCGCCTTTCCATAGATCATGTCAATAGACTAGTAGTGGGCACGCCAGACACTTTGTGGCATCGCCGGTGTTTCAGTATTGTCAGTTTGCACCTATGTGGTCGCAGTTCTATCGCGACAAGCTGTGCATTTGCCTCTAGGCAATTCACCTTTCCTTAGCTACGCTGCAGTTGTGCTGCGATATTCATCTATAGCATAATATTGGTCTGTGTGATCGAATCCATGTGTTCAATGCATTCTAGGTTGCTAACATAACAAACCAGACCAGACACGGTATGGACTCATGATTGTATGTAGGTGTGAACAAGTTAGTTTCTGGCAATGTTGTGGTGTTTGGTTTCCGCCCAACATTGTCGATCTGCATGTTTGCACTAGCGTGCAGCTGAACCAACGCAGCCGAACCAACGTGCCTTGCAATGCTTTGCTAGGCTTTTCTTTCACTGTATCTTTTGGTCACATATAATACCGTACACTTTTGCTTTTACTCTCTCTTTTTAGCACGTTTGCGTTTTGGTTATATCGAAGAACCCAGTGTGTAGTTACGATCCATCACAGTTTCAATGTTTATGGACTAGCGTGGTGTAGTCCTGCGGAACACGAGCCATGGGCAACATCCCAGCATTCCGCCGAGCTGCCATTCCCTACACGTTGTAGACTGCTACACAGTTCTAGTTGGCCATACCATGGTATTCAGTACCCACGAACTTTGCACAGCCGATAAGCGAAATCTTCTGTTTTTGTTTCTGTTCTCTTTCTGTTGTACCCGATCTCCCTCTGATGTACCGCTGACTCCACGCTGAAGATCTAAGTATTTTAATTCTCATTATAATTTTCATACTCGCTTTCTTGTTATTGCCAATAGTGGGTTCTATGCCCGTTTGAATTTGCGAATCAAAATAAATATAAACAACAAATAACACTATAGCAACTTGTATTGTGGCAACACTGGCCAACACTCAGATGCACTACTTCTTCACACAGCTGAACAATTCTTCTTTCTTCTCAACGTTTCGGTCACTCTGACCATCTTCAGGATGAAGCAGACACGGAACTTCGAAGCAAGGCAGACTTTAAAACAACAAGCTGGCTAGGTGCGTGCGGGATACAGCGGGGAAAACAAAACAAAAAACAACAACTCCCAAGCGAAAAATGACACATGCCACATGATCACAATAGGGGTGCTAGTCCTCCGTGTGAGAGACTAGGGCGGTGATAATTATGTACAACCTGTGGAATACAGCAGGGGGAGAGGGGGGGGGGGGGGACACTCTCAGTCGAGAGAAGAAAAAACCCGGCAACAGCCACATGACTACAGTAGTGTGGACAGTGCTAACATAATGCTAAAGTCTAGGGTGGTGATACGTACAATTTGTGGGTGCTTTCACATGGATAGCTACATGTATCACTCCAATGAAAAAGCCAGGCAACCAGAGTTCACAGGAGATCCCAACCACTGCTGGTGTTGATATTAGGCTCCATGTCCCGGATCTTGACCGCTTCCCGAATCCTTCTCCTTGCCCTGTCTGGCTCTGTCGCAAGCACACAGACGTTGGCGAGTCCGGTCTGCCCCAGCGACAATGGCTCATCGGCATGGAAGATCCGGTAATGCTCACCCAGCGCCTTTCCTCGGACCTCGGCCTCGGCCGTTGCGGTGATGACTATGTGGGTGAAACTGGCCGAAGCGTTGCGACAAGGTCAAGGGAGCACAACAATAATGCACGAAACGAGGTCCGAGGAAAGGCGCTGTGTGAGCATTACCGGATCTTCCATGCCGATGAGCCATTGTCGCTGGGGCAGACCGGATTCGCCAACGTCTGTGTGCTTGCGACAGAGCCAGACAGGGCAAGGAGAAGGATTCGGGAAGCGGTCAAGATCCGGGACATGGAGCCTAATATCAACACCAGCAGTGGTTGGGATCTCCTGTGAACTCTGGTTGCCTGGCTTTTTCATTGGAGTGATACATGTAGCTATCCATGTGAAAGCACCCACAAATTGTACGTATCACCACCCTAGACTTTAGCATTATGTTAGCACTGTCCACACTACTGTAGTCATGTGGCTGTTGCCGGGTTTTTTCTTCTCTTGCTTGAGAGTGCCCCCCCCCCCCCCCTCTCCCCCTGCTGTATTCCACAGGTTGTACATAATTATCACCGCCCTAGTCTCTCACACGGAGGACTAGCACCCCTATTGTGATCATGTGGCATGTGTCATTTTTCGCTTGGGAGTTGTTGTTTTTTGTTTTGTTTTCCCCGCTGTATCCCGCACGCACCTAGCCAGCTTGTTGTTTTAAAGTCTGCCTTGCTTCGAAGTTCCGTGTCTGCTTCATCCTGAAGATGGTCAGAGTGACCGGAACGTTGAGAAGAAAGAAGAATTGTTCAGCTGTGTGAAGAAGCAGTGCATCTGAGTGTTGGCCAGTGTTGCCACAATACAAGTTGCTATAATGAAGCTGCGTGAAGCGTCGTTCCGAATTTATAAAACAACGCTACATGTATGTCTTTTATTTTCAATAGGGATTTGTACGTACCATGAAAGCAAGCCTAAATGAAAAGAAATTCCTAGAACGTACATGCAGAAGCGGTGCTGAGTGCAATGCATTGTGAAACTGAAAATGCTGACCAACAGCATCGCTGGGCATGGGCGGGTAATGCTAGCATTATGGCTAGCATTATACTAGTCCCTTTTTTCCAGGTGGCATAATGCTGGCATTATAACACCATTTCGCATGCAAAATTGGCATTACAAGCATAATTGCCGGTCGACAACGGTGTCATGCATGAAGCTGGCTAGGTCCAGTTCCGAAAATCGTGCATCTGAACCCGTCCGACTTCGTCCCGAGACTTGACGAATGACGTTGCAAATCAACCTTCTCAGTGGATTGTTTCAGACAACATGCTCACTGCCAGGCTGTTTAAGTTTTTTTCTTCTAGTACTACGATTTGGCCTTGATCCAAGACGATCTTCTTAAGGGGCCATCCGTAAATATAGATATT